GCCTGGTTGTTTTCTGATCTCGGCACTTGGGTCAGATGGAAATCCTCAAGGGAGCCGATTGCTTGTCGGACCGCCTGTAAATACTTGATCATGGCCGGATGGGTTGCTTCGTATTCGCCATTGTACTGACTCACTATCAATTGTGAATCAGAACAGACGTCTATTTTTCTTGCCCCTGCCGCCTTGCACATGCGGATTCCGGCTAGTAAAGCTTCATATTCTGCCTCATTGTTTGAGGCCTGAAAACTGAAGCGTAGAGCATACTCGTACCTGTCGTCCTCTGGCGACTGACATATGACGCCTGCTCCACAACCATTTGAAGTAGAGCTTCCATCCACATATACCTTCCAGACTTGGTCTGGAACTTGAGAGTCAGGAGGACGAGTCATCTCAACAATAAAGTCAGCAAAGGCTTGCCCCTTCACTGCTTTTCTAGGCTCGAAGGTAACTTCGAGGCTCTGTATTTCTATGGCCCATTTGATCATTCGGCCTGACGACTCCATGATGGTCAGTGGCCGCTTGATAGGTTGGTCTGTATACACGACGACTGCATGTGCCAAAAAGTAGGGCTTCAATTTTTTAACAGCCATGAAGAGTGCAAGACCAAATTTCTCCACTAAGGGATACCTCAACTCGGCATTTTTCAGTACGTGACTGACAAAGTAGACCGGGAGCTGACAGCCGTCTATTTCAGCAAGGAGAACAGCGCTTAACGCATGATCAGAGACGGTCAGGTACATGTAGAGTACTTCTTTGGGCAAAGGGCTGACCAGCCTCGGCAAGGAATGCAAGTGAACTTTCAATTTCTGGAAGGCCGCCTCAGCATCCGGCCCCCATTCAAACCTTACCTTTTTCTTAATTTCCTGGAAAAAGTATAGGCATTTGTCGCCTGATCGGCTTAGAAATCTTCCCAAGGCCGCCAGACAACTTGTTAACTTCTGAACCTCTCGGATGGTACGAGGCGACTGCATGTCGATGACCGCCTGCACCTTCTCAGGGTTCGCCTCTATTCCTCTCTGATTGATAAGGAATCCGAGAAATTTCCCAGACTCAACTCCAAAGACACATTTCTTGGGATTGAGCATGACATGGTGCCGCCTGAGTGTGGCGAAAGTTTCTCGGAGGTCCGACAGATGATTTTTCTAAAGTTTAGACTTGACAATCATATCATCAATATATGCCTCAACATTTCTCCCAATCTGATCAAAGAACACAGTGTTTATCATTCGCTGGAAAGTGGTCGGGGCATTCTTAAGACCAAACGGCATGACCGTGTAACAGTATAACCCTTGATCAGTGACGAAGGTCGTCTTCTCCTGATCTTTCTTCCATAAAGGAATTTGATGGAAACCAGAGTAGGCGTCCATAAAGCTCATCAAAGCATGGCCGGCTGTTGAGTCGACCAGGTTATCAATTTTAGGAAGAGGGTAACTGTCTTTGGGGCACACCTTGTTTAAGTCTGTGTAGTCTACACACATTCGCCAGGTGCCATTCGGCTTTTTAACAAGCACCACATTTGCAACACAGTCTGGGAAGTAACATTGCCGGATGAACCCTGCATCAAGTAATTTTTTAACTTCGGCGGCTGCCGCCTGACTTCTTTCTTCGCCATGGTTCCGCTTCTTCTGCCTTACCGGCTTCTTTTTCGGATCCACAACCAGTTTATGTACCGCCAGATCAGGACTAATGCCTGGCATTTCATGGACTTCGAATGCAAAGAGGTCCTTGTATTCTTTCAATAGTTTATGAAAATTGTCACCCAGGACCTTTAGAGCAGTCGTCCCAACTTTAACTGTTCTGTCAGGACGCGAGTCATCTAAGATCAGGTCCGTATGCTCACCAGCCGGCTGAGGGCGGAATTCATCCGACCGCTCCTCTGCCAATGATTGCTATTTTCTGTCTTTTCTTGCGGCCCCCGTCTGGGATGCCTTTCTCTTCTTGCCGCCTGCTTCTTGAACAGGCGCACTCTCCTTGACATTGTCAAGGTCTATTTTTCCCCCACTCGACCTAGCGGCCATAACAGTGGGCTTGACATCCGAGAGATAGCACTATTGGGCCATCCTCTAATCTCCCCTTAGGGACCCGACTGTTCCATTATCCCTCTCAAACTTGAGCAACATAAGAGATGGGATTATAACAGCCTTGGAATTATTCAGGGTTGGTCGTCCCAGAATCATGTTGTAGGCCGAGAGTTCTTCTACTACCAGGAACCGGACTACCATGTGTCGTCCTTCCCCTTTTTCGCCCAGGCGGATGGGTAAATCCACTCGTCCCACTGGGTGGACGACTCCTCCTCCAAACCCTACTAAAGGGTGGGGTGCCGGATGTATGCAATCAGTCTGATATTTTAGTTTCGACAGACATTTGCTACTGATGATATCTGAGGAGCTTCCGGTATCTATGAGGATTCGGCCAACTCTCTGGTTGGCCACTTTACATTCAATAACGATAGGGTCGTCATGCGGCCCTCTTACCCCTCCTAGATCTTCTTCAGTGATGACAATCTCAGGAAATGAATATTTGGAGGGCCGTTCTTGGTGAACGCAATTTACATCTAACCGTCTGATGTTGTCTTTGTTGCCCCTAATAGTGGGGCCGCCTCCTGAGAAGCCGCCTGCAATGGTGTAGACGACTGCATCATTTGTATCGGAGCTGTCGGCCTGTTGATTCTTTTTGGTCGACTGCTTTTTCGAGGAAGTGTTCCCCGTAGATTTCTTGACATAAGTGTCAAGATCACCTTGCTCAGCCAGGCGGTCCAGATATCGCATGAGACTGATGCATTCATTGGTGTGATGACCAACATCTTCATGATAATCACAGAATTTTTCTTAGTTCCGATTGTTTGCAGAACCCTTCATGGGGACCGGCTTCTCAATTGAGATCCGTCCCTTGATTTCCTTTAGGATAAATTGGCTATCCTTGTTAAACACATACTTTGGGGAGTATGGTTTGAATTCTTTTTTCTTCTTCTGGGACGGCTGTTTAGAGGAATCAGTTGCCCAGACCTCTTTTCTCTTCTCGTCTTTGTTTGACGACTGCTTCTGTCGTCCTTCTCTTTTGTCGGACCTTTTCCCGTCTGACTGTTTTACCGTACTACAAAGATCAGTCGCCTGTATATAGGCTTCCGCTTCAATCAAGGCCTCTTGAAGAGTCGCCACCCTTTTTCGGACCAAATCAAATTTAAAGGTCGACCCGTCTTTGAGACCTCTGAAAAAGTCAGTATAGGCTACTTCATCCGGTAACCCTTGAATCTGTATTCTCATCAGGTTAAACCGCCTGATGTAAGAACGAAGCCCCTCCTTCTCGCCCTGCTGAATTGTTCCTAAATCAAGGGTCGTCTTCTTCGCAGGGATGTTCATGGCGAAGTTGGAGGTGAATAAGTAAGCAAGCGTCTTGAAGTTATTTATACAACCAGTCGGCAGGTTGCCGAACCATTGTTGTGCGATTCCTTTGAGAGTCGTTGGGAAACACTTGCACCAAGTGGGATCATCCAACCCTTGAAGGTACATCAGGTTGGTGAATGCCATCAGATGGTCTTCTGGGTTAGTAGTGCCGTCATAGGCGCTTACTAATACATTTTTCACTTTGGCCGGCTGAGCGGCTTCAGTAATTTCCTTGGAGAAGGCCGACGGCTGTTCACCAAGTCTAAGCAACCGTAGCTGCCAGTCCATATTTTTTGCTGCATGTCCACCAAACGGAGGTGGCTGTAAAAAATATTGTTGTTGCGGTACAAACGGTAAGTTTGGTACCGCCTGGTCGCTATGAAAGCCGGACTGACGGGAGGTGCCGCCTGACTGACTCTCATGATACGACTGAGTATGCCTCATCAAGGTATTTCGCAGACTGTCTTGGAAGTTTGAAGTAGAGGCCGACTCTGACAATCGGTCACTCTTCTTCTGTTCTAGCAGTAGCCGAGCGTCTGTGTATGTTTTCCTCGACCCGTCCGCCTGAATATGACGAACAGGTTTCCTATTTCCTGGATTAGGAAAACGGTATTTTGTGAAATCAAGGGCAGGTGGCTCCCACTTCCTAGATTTAGGATGAGGGGTCGCCTCTCGCCCTTGAACTGGCTTCCTCTTCCGTGAAGTGGAGGGTTTCTTAGCCGACTGCTCCTTGTCCAGAGCAGGCGGCTTCTTGTTGATCAACTCTTGAATTTCTCCCTTGAAGTCCCTCATGAAGGTCATGAGTTCGCTCCTTGTGATGGGAGCAGACCCATCAGTCGGTTGCTGCCGAACAGGCGGTGCGCCTGCTGGCTCGCTTCCAGTTTGAAGATGTTCTCGTTCCCTCCTTTCGGTATGACGGGTACGTCGGGCCCTTAGGGTCCCGTCTGAAGCTGTGTGAGCTTCAACTTCAAATTCATTCTCAGTATCGTGGTCCGACTGAACTAGAGGGTCGTCCAGGGGACGTCTCTCTTCAGGAGCCGGTACAAACGTGGATGCCATCTCAGAAGTACTCTCCCCACAGACGGCGCCAAAATGTTTCGGGGTTTTCTGATGTCCTGCGGGAGAGTTACAATTCCGAGACTGGAACCGGACGCCTGTACCTGCAAAACAAACGGATGCTCCGGATGATTGGAGATCCGCCTCCGACGGTCAAGTTAGTACTTGATTAAGGAGTGATTAATGCGGAAATTAAAGTGATTGGGTCTCTCTAGGTGAGAGTGTTTAAGGTGTGTAATCTGCGTTTTTTTGCGTAATCCCCCTTAATGAGGATTAAGGGAGGTATTTATAACCTCGGGAAACGTGCCAATCTAGGTTTAGGTTAACCTTGGGCTGATTGGACTTCCCTCGGAAGTTGGGCCTAGGTGACCGGTTATCCCAGGTGTCATGGGAAGGACACGTGTCGTGTCGTAATTGGTCCATAGTGGACGGATCATTGCTTGACACGTGGCAGACTCCTATTGGCCCATGTGACGGACACATGGCGGAACCTGATTGGTCCACTTGTCAGATGGTGATTGGTGGGAAAAATCCCCTAATCACCTAGTACTTCATATTAATAATAAATAAATAAATAATGGCGAATAAAGACATGAGCAATGGACCTACCCATGGCCATCATACATGAATCTTGAACAACGGTAAAAAAAAAAAAAAAAATTAAAAAAAAAAGTACAAATCCCATAGTTAATAAAAGAGTTATACAGTCATTCGTAATTATTTCGGAATCTTTGTTTTTCTGGATAATCCGATTTGTGGTTCTGGGAACTGATTTTGGTTCATTCTTTCATCTTCCAATTATCTGTAAGTTTCTCAAATCTTTTCGTTTTATTTTCTGTTTTTATCATTATGATTTGATTTTATTGTTTTTTTTTTTGAATCTTTGATGATGCTTATTGTTTCGTTATGATTATGCGATTGCTATTTTGATTGTTTGATTTAGATCCAGATTTTGGGTTTTTTTTTTTCCGATTTTTTTTTATTTTTAACATCGATAATATGATGCATGCGATTTGATTATTGTTTTGATAATTATGATTGTGGTTTTAAATTTATCGTTTATCTCTTTAGATCTGATGAATTAGGTTGTTTTTAATTGGTTTTCTAATTCTGAAATCGTTAAATTTCTGCGATTTTCGTGTTATCGTTTTGAAGTTGTTTTAAATTTGAGAAAGCGATATGAGATTGCGCGATTTTCGTGTTTGAGTTTTTCAACAATTTGATAAATCTCTGTCATAATGAGACACTCCATCAAAAGCGGAATAAGCATAAACATGGTTCTTTTTAAAAAAAGTTAAGGTGAAAATTTGCACTTATACCCAAATAACTCAATACTTTTTGTAAAATAACATACTGTAGAGAAAATTTCAAAGCATTATTCCCAAATTTGAACCCCACTGTGATTATACACTAAAGTACGGTGACGTCATCTCTTGTATCGTCAACTCCATAAGATCTTGAACCAAATAAGCGTTCGGGGATTAAGGTACAAATCCAACCAAAAAGAGATTGAACCTGCCCTAATAATATGCTTATATTAATGCACAAACAAATATATTATTGGCGATCACTTGAATTATAATCACATTAACCCTAAACAAGATTATTAATTAGGGTTTTTCTACATGGTTCCCTCAAATTATCGCGTTTTCTATGTTGTACCTTTTTAAATCCAAACTTCTACACGGTGCCCACAAGTTTAAGTAACTTAATTACTTTTAACCATTTATTAAGTTAATGTTAAAACACTTTTAAATAGACTATTAACTTAGGGATGTCAATGGGGCGGGGCGGGGCGGATGTTGGCCTTCCCATCCCATCCCCACCTAATATTTTCATCCCCATCCCCACGACGGGTCCAATTTTCATCCTCATCCCCGCCCCACCGAGTACAACTCCAAAACCATCCCCGCCCCACCCCCCACTTGGATATCCATCCCCACCTAATTCCCACCAAAGACCCGCCTAATCCCCACCAAGGATCCACCTAATATCCGTACCTCAAATACACAATCTTACATAATTAATACGAATTATAAAATAAAACATTTTATAAACATTTTTGTGTTATAATATAAGTGTCGTACTAAAATTAATATTGTATTTCATGTAATTATTTTATAAATAGAATAAAAGTATGTAATTTTGCATTAAAAGATATATAGATCTGGGTATGAGGTGGGGATGGGGCGGGTACAAAGTGGGGCGGGTGGGGCGGGTACAACTTAAAATCCACCCCGCCCCATCACCCATGGCAGGTATGGTTTTTATCCCCATCCCCGCCCCACCACTTGCCAAACCGAGACCCATTGGGGCGGGGATGGGGCGGGTCTCCTACTTGACCCGCCCCACTGACATCCCTACTATTAACTATGGTTAGCAATCTTTTTTTTTTTTACTTTAAAAAAAAAAAAAGTTATTATAATATAACTTTATAATTTAGTTATAACTTTATAAGATAAATTTAGTTGTTTTTCCCCCCAAACTCACGATCTTCCATAGCTTCTTTCTTTTTCTTCTCCAAACTGAACTCTTTTTCTCTAAACTTTCTCAATCAACTTATCTCTAATTAAAATCTGAATTATGCAAGAATGAATTAGCAAACAATCTCAACCAATTTCTAACCCGCAACGTTCCCCGTTAAAACCCAAAAAAAAATCCCCCGCAAACCCCTAAAATTCAGCCCCATATTCACCGTATCGTCATTCTCCGATGTCAAATCGACTCAAATGTAATCCAAAAAAATTTGTAAAACATGAAAATAGCAATCCAAAAACACAGTAGTTATGTTTGTATTGTTTGTCTCTCATTTTTGATGAAGTGATTTTTTATCTCTGAAATGTAATCCAAAAAAAATTTGTAAAACATGACAGTAGCAATCTAAAAAAATTCAGCACCTTTTTTTGATGATGATGTGATTTTTTGTATTCTTTTATATTAAAGAACAAGAACATATATAATATGCTAAGATGGAATCCTACATGGAACTTCTAGAGCATATATCTCATTATCTATTACTTTGTATTGTTTATGATTAGAATGCCAGTTGCCATGATTCATAAGTTACAGTTGCAAGAAAGGGTAGTAGTTGATGCCTGGATTTATACAACAATTTTGTTTATGCAGGATCGGGTTTGATATTTTATAAAACCAGTTGCAAAACAGGACTACAAAAACCTTATATAGTACAGAGTCCGTAGAGTATCTGCAATACAGAAAAAACATATCTGAAATTTTAGACAGTAGCAATCCAAAAAAAATCATAAAAATCTGTTTGGTTCATCATATTATCCATTATACCAGTGAAAATAGTCCAAAAACACAGTAGTTATCACTACTAAAACTGTAATCCTAAAAACATCCAGGTTTAATAAAATGCAAAACCCACAAGAATAAGGGAAATACATGGGAATAAGACCAACACATTAGGGAAACCAAATCTATCTTGTCTTTTGTCTCTTGCCAGCACAACTTATAGAATGGAGAGGAGCACTTGATGAAGGTTGAGTTGAGTTCGACCTTTGTTGATGCAAATGCTGATGGCTTGAGCTTAGTTGCGTCATGTGGTTAGATGCTTGCGATTCTGCAATCATGAGGTCAATCATGTTCATTTCATTACTTGTGCGTTCTCTTGTTCTTACATTACTTTTCCCCTTTGAAGCTGCCTTTTTTGAACTTGTATCTGGGATTCCTTGTTGCATTAGTTTCTCTTTGAGAGCATTGTGGCCATATTCTTTGCTAAGGTGAAAGTTGCAACTAATATGTAACGGAGGTAGTACGTTATTTATAGGGAAAATCAGCCAAAAAGATAAAATATCAAAAACAGAGTCTGGCGCACATCAAAACGAACCAGCGCCAACGCTAGCTGTTGGCGCCAAACGGCAATGCTGGCGCCAGGCGCTACAGCTGGCGTTTGGCGCTGATTTGGAAAATTACGCGTTTTCTCAAAATCAGATAAAAATTGCCGCACAGGAGGATAAAATTGTATTTTCCTCAAAAAAATGCTCTTTGATTTTAATTAAAACTCTGAAAAGTCAATTTATCAATGCTAATTGAATTAGGAATGAAAAGAACCTTCTAGAAGAATCTAGAAGACTAAAACCATTCCTAATTGCATTAGGAATGATAAATCATATTAGACCCTCCTCTAGATCATTGGGCCGTACATAAGGCTCAAACCGGGCCCAGTTTAGTAAATTGACCATAACTTCCTCATTATTCATCGGAATTGGGCTTATAATATATCGTTGGAAAGCTCTTGTCAAGCCCCATCCAACTACACTACTATTGGACCCATATCATGGACCAAACAAGCTAGATTGGTTGTTTTCTTAAAATAATTTTTCAAAAACAGAGAGAAGAGAAAAGAAATTAAAATTATCCGCAACACTAAACTTTACACACTTTCGCTTCATTCGATTATGATTCGACGTGAAAGGTACTCATCACCGGTTTTGGTTTTGGGGAGACACAAATGAGTGTCTACACATACAACTGCTAATACTTCTATATGTATATGAGTTTTCAACTAATATACGTATACGATTAAATGTTCACAAGTGGTCGTTCTTTAAACTTAAATGTCCCTTATCTAAACTTAGGGCCTGTTCTCGTACATTTATTTTCAATTCAGCTAAGTTCATTTCAGCTCATAACCTTCTCTTATAAAATATTCATTTTTGAGTCTATGAGAACAAGCCCTTATTGTCCCTTCTTTAAGCTAGTCCAAAAGAACAAGCTTCATAACTTACAAACTAAATGAGCAAGCTTAAAACACTTTCATCATATCACCAAATTCAGTGACTACAGTTTCACTCTTAATTGGCCCATCACTGAACTTATATAAGCTTATTTAGTCGCACTTGAATTTATCAGTTCATTGACAATTGCACTACTAGAAAATAGGTGTTTTCCGTCGAAAAACGTGTCTATGATGGAATTCCATCGGAAACTGTCATCGGAAAAGCGTTTGTAGCAAATACGAACGACCATTTCCAACGGTAATAATGCATCGAAAGAAATATTCCGGTCCAGAAAAGTCCGTCGGAAATTTTCAACGGAATGTAAATCCGTCGGAAATTTATGCTATTAAAAAAACAAAAAAAAAATTCCCATACCAGCCCACCTGACCTGCACCACCACCCCAGCAGACGCCCAAACCTTAACCCGTAAACACACTAACCCCTACCAACCCACCTAACCTGTAAACAACCCACCACCCACCAAAACTAGTAACCCACTTCACCACCGACTAGAACTCCAACTAGATTCCCAACCCACCTTAATAGAACCAGACCTACCCCACTTAACCCTAACTTACCCAAATCCAGATCTATCGCCCAAAACAAACCCAGATCTACAACCCTAAACAAAACAACAAACCAAAAATTAACAAAAAAAAAAAACACAATCACTACAGCCGATTGCCACAATTACAACCCATATAAAAAAAATAAAATAAAATAAACCACAAAAAAGAAAGAAAATTAAATACAATATAACATACCTTTAACACCGAAATAAGATGTTAATTTCTCCTTGAATTTGGTTGATATGACCAAATTCGATGACCATGAAATCTCTAGATCTAGAATTTTCATGGCCGAATTTGACCGTAAAATCCATCAATTTGGATGAAAGATACCATGAGAAAAAAACCATGTGTAAGAGAAGATAACAGAGGGGAAAGAGAAGAAGAGAGAGAAAGAAAAGAGGGGAAAGAGGCGGAGTCCAGAAAGAAGAGGAGGAAAGAGAAAAGTGAAAAATAGGGGAAAGAAAAGAGAAGAAAACAAAGAGGAAAGAAAAGAGGAGAGAGAAAGAGAAGGGGTAGGAGGCAGAGTCTAGAAAGTGAGAAAGAAGAGGAGGAAAGAGAAAAGGGGGAGAGATAAAGAGTAGGGGAAAGATTAAAAGGGGCGGAAAACTTATATGAGAAAGGTGGGTTCCGATTTAGGGTTAAGGAGGTTTTTTATTTTAATTATTTTAAACAAAATAAATATTTCGACGGAAATTCCGTTGAAAATTAAACTTTTTGACAGAATATTCCGTCGTAAAGTACAAATATTCCTACGGATTTATATTCTGTCGGAAATTTCTGACAGATTTCCGACGGATTATTTAAATTTGTCGCAAATTTTGGATTTTTCGACGAAATTATGTTCGTCGGAACATTTCCGTCGCAAATCGACCTGATTCTTAAGAGTGTTAGCAGGGGCTAATGAGCTACAAGTAGCCGATGTAGGAGATAAATTAATAAGCATTGAGACCATAAATAGTATCATGATCAAGCAGTGGCTCTCTTGCACCTTCAATCTAGATTAAGTATCTTCTTTTTCTACAGGTTACAGTGTAGTATTAGCTTGGATGATTTAACATTGGTAAAAAAAAAAAAAAAAACTAGACCTCAAAGCATTACATTGCACAAGCATATCCTGATATCCTCCTAATAATCAGAGTGATGTAACATTATTTGACATGATAAATAAACTTTAATCATTTAACCATGATGCATTGTTTTTCCTGTGAGTTGTGAATGTCAAATTTAAATTAACACAATCTGATAGCAGAGTAGAAAATGAAAAGAGCCAAAACTTGTTCCGGTTATGGATATCACTTTTAGTGATATTGGTTATCGGGTACCCGAACCGTTAGTACTAACTGTACGAATACCGGTCCCATGCTCACCCCTACATAGTATCTATTGTCTAATTTTGGCATCTACTAAGTACATCAATTAAGGCAAATAACATTTTTAAATGCAAGTATGCAACTATTTTAAATTAAATCATGTATAATTTTAGAAGCAACAAGAGATCAAGACATAATTGAACAAATTTTTCTATGAGGCATTTCATCAAACATGTACCGTGCAAACTTAGGTTTAAACTTTTCTTAATCATGGTGGACTAGTTGTATTTGCAAGCTTAATTTAATATTTCAGATACAACTAGTCCACTATTGCCAAGAAAAGTTTAAACCTTTAAAACCAAAATTAAAATTTTTAATAAAACGAGAAACTTAGGAAAGTAAAAAATTAAGTACTTTCGAAATGACCAAAAAGTCGCGCATAAAAAAGAGTCAAACAATTCAAATTCCAAGTTTGATAAAACAAAAACCCTAAATCCCAATTGTTCTTGCAAATTAGGAAAAAAATGGAAGTGGGTGCGAAGAGAGAGAAGGAGAAGCAGAAGGAGAATGAAAAACCTCCTTATGTCGTTGCAAAAGATGATACCAAACCGGTTCTTCAAGATCCTGTAAAAATTCTCTCTTTTTCTTTCTTTCATTTTTTAATGTAGTCAGGATTTGATCTCAAGTCTTGAGTACCACCCTCGAGACTTTATAAAAATGTTATGTGTCTAACAAGTTATTTATGTAATTGTAATTCTTAGTTATGGAGTTCAGACCCAACTCAAGCTGAACAAGCAGTGCTGCGGTTGCCACCATTTCCCTTGAGATCAAAATCTTAGTTCAATTTGAGATGTTAATCATTGCTATGTGTAAGAGGGGTTTTTTTTTTTTTTTTTTTTTTTTAAATGCTACTTTTGTTGGTTTTTGAACTGATGTACAATTGATTGAATGGAGTGATGTGCTAATATAATTATGATTATTTTATGAAATTCTTTATGGTATGAAAATGGAAATATTATCATCTGTTAGTCTGTTATTGATATCTGACTTGGTTGGTGTTCGTTTTGTCCTAATCAATTGAACTTATAACATCACTCCTTCCGTCCCTAATTAATTGCAACAACGGCACAAACATTGGAGTAAACACATATAAACAATAGAGATATTGTAGGCTTTAAAACTTAAGGATAGAACCAGTAGTATTAGACATCAACTTAGTTACAGTATAACAAATTCATTGCAATTTTACCTCGTATAGAGTGAAATTCATCTCTTTTTAATACAAGGTGTTAAAAATTTCAACAAATAAGTTCTTACATACAAAAAAGCTTACTTAAATTTAACATTAAATCAAAAATTCCAAAGATCTCACATTACTTGTGACAGTCAAGAATATCAAGATGACAAAATTTAAGAATTCATTACAATATTTAGTTAGTGAGGCTAATGTAGGTTTCTCATTTTCGCTATAATATTTAGCTAAATTCTTAACATACACTTAATTGTTCCATCCTACACTAGCCATCTTGAGATTCTTGACTGTCACAAGTAGTGTGAGATCTTTGGAATTTTGGATTTAATGTAAAATTTAAGTAAGCTTTTTTGTATGTAAGAAATTATTAGTTGAATTTTTAAATACCTTGTATGAAAAAGAGATGAATTTCACTCTATACGATGTAAAATTGCAATGAATTTGTTATATTGTAATTAAGTTAATGTCTAATACTATTGGTTCTATCCTTAAGTTTTAAAGCCTACAATATCTCTATTGTTTTATATGTGTCTACTCCTATGTTTGTGTCGTTTTTGCAATTAATGTGGGACTGAAGGAGTGATGTTATGAAGTTCAATTGATTATGACAAAACGAACACCAAACAAGCCAGATATCAGACTAACAGATGATAACATTTCCATTTCATATCATAAAGAATTTCATAATATAATCATAATTATATTAGCACATCACTCCATTCAATCAATTGTACATCAGTTCAAAAACCAACAAAAATAGCATTGCAAAAACTCTTGGAAAAGCTCTTACACATATAGCAAATTCACCATAACATGATTAACATATCAAATTGAACTAAGATTTTGATCAGAAGGGAAATGGTGGCAACCGCAGCACTGCTTGTTTAGCTTGAGTTGGGTCTGAACTACAAATTACAATTACACAAATAACATATTAGGCACATAACATTTTTATAAAGTCTCGAGGGTGGTACTCAAAACCCGACTACATTAAAAAAATGAAAGAAAGAAAAAGAGAGAATTTTTACAGGATCTTGAAGAAGGTATCATCTTTTGCAACGACATACATTTTCTCTCTAATTTGAAAGAATAACTGAGATTTAGGGTTTTTATTTTATCAAATTTGGAATTTAAATTGTTTGCCTCTTTTTTATACGGTGACTTTTTGGTCATTTCGAAAATACTTAATTTTTCACTTTCCTAAGTTTCTCGTTTTATTAAAATTTTAATTTTGGTTTTAAAGGTTTAAACTTTTCTTGGCAATGGTGGACTAGTTTTATCTAAAAGGTTGAATTAAGCTTACACTTACACGGTACATGTTTGATGAAATGCCTTATAGAAAAATTTGCTCAATTATGTCTTGATCTTCTGTTGGTTCTAAAACCATACATGATTGTGAGTTTTGATTTAATTTAAAGTAGTTGCATACTTGCATTTAAAAATGTTATTTGCCTTAATTGATGTACTTAGTAGATGCCTAAATTAGACAATAGATATTATGGTTACGTCATAAGTTACACATTTGAGATCAGATCAACGACATATTATTTATGATGCTATATAAATATTCAAAATGATACGGAGAAAAACACGTTTTTTTTTTTTTTTTTTTTTTTTTTTTTTTTTTTTTTACACATGCCTACAGAATGTCATGCTTTAAAAAAAACGTCGGGTGTACTTAAAGAGCTGATATATGATGATATGTGATTAGAATATGTCAATGATTTGTTATCGTGATTTGTTATAGTCATAGGTACAAGTTTTGAATCTTTCCATTTACTGCTCTGCTATCAGATTGTAGTAATTCAAATTTGACATTCACAAGGGGACCAATGTATCATTGTTAGATAATTTAAGTTTATTTATTATGTTAAATAATGTTACATCACTCTGATTCCTAGGTGGATATTAGGATATGCTTGTGTAATGCTTTGATGTCTAGTTTTTTTTTTTTTTTTTTTAAACCAATGTTAAATCATCCGAGCTAATATTACACTGTAACCTATAGAAAAAGTAGATTCTTAATCTAGATTGAAGGTGCAAGAGAGCCACTGCTTGAACCAATCGTGATCATGATGCTAGTTCTGTTCTCATTGCTTACTAATCTATCTCCTACATCGGCTACTTGTAGCTCATTAGCCCTTGTCAGTGAACTGATAAATTCAAGTGCGGCTAAATAAGCTTATTCAGTGATGGGCCAATTAAGAATGAAAGTGTAGTCACTGAATTTGATGAAGTGTTTTAAGCTTGCTCATTTAGTTTGTAAGTGATGAAGCTTTCTCTTTTGGACTAGCTTAAAGAAGGGACAATAAGTTTAGATAAGGGACTTTAAGTTTAAAGAACGACCACTTGTGAACATTTAGTCGTGTTTTAGTTGAAAACTCATACATATAGAAGTATTAGCAGTTGTCTGTTATTTTACAAAAAGTAATGGGTTATTCGGGTACAAATAAGTGCAAATTTTCACCTTAAATTTTTAAAATATGAACCATGCTTATGCTTATTCCGCTTTTGACGAAGTGAGTGTCACATTGTCACCTGGTTCTAGACGGAGTAATTGTAGGATTATGCTATGCTCTTTTTTCTTTGTGAAATGTTTGTTCTTGTTTATCACTTTGATTTTGAGATTGGTGGACACGGCAGATATTATTGTTCTACTTGGCTTGAGGGAATTAGAATGTGATGCTGCGGATCTGTTGCGTAGGAGTGTGTCCCTAAAAGCTCCAAAGTCGAAACAAAAAATTGGGTCAGTGATCATTATCTTCCCATCCACACAAGGTCACAAGGGAGTATCTAATTCTGTTTTCTATCCTTGTGGACACCAATTCATGGTCCTACTTGAACTCCATCGGACCATACTCCATGTCCCCAACCATCGCAATCCCTCTTCCAGTCTTCCCTAATATGTCCCCAAGCTAATTAATTCGCGTTACCACATTATGTGGATTGGTGAATCCAGTGTAAACATTGTAAAAAATGGATATGTCACATAAAGAGTTGTATTGTATAGCTTGAATCTTGTACACAAATACGGATTGTATTGACGGCCTAGCCTTTAGAATACAGTATATAATTACTACATTTTATGTATTTTTAATCATATATATCCAATAGATATTCATTTATTAATTTAATCATATCAAAATGGATGAGACGATTTGTTATATACGATTAAAAAATAATAATAATATTTTTCTTTTATTATGTTTGTTAATGCACAATATGAATAATTAATACTATTTTATTTAAATTATTTATAACGATTAAACATTTTTCCTCTCTACTTTATGCTAAACCGTTGCAAATAATATAAAACGGAGGTGGTATCTCCAATTCTCAATAAATAAAAATTTTGAAAAATTGATATTTACGAGTAGGGACAAAAAAAAACGCAATTAGTTGTTAAAACTTCTATTTCTCCTATTAACATAATTCAAATTAACATCTTCCACATTTTGTTTGATATCCTTTGCTTTGAAAATGGCTACATTTTAAAAATGAGAAAAAACTTCATCACCAAACACTTGTATTTTTAACACAAAAACCCATTTTTGGGGAAAAAAAATCTACCTTTTTGTGTAATAATCGTTTTTCGATTTCCAACATTTAGGAATAAAGGGAGAAAAATAGCGCTCTTACTTAGATTGACTAATATCGTGTAATTGTGAATAGTATATTGCAACAAAAAAAATGTAAACTGAAAAGATGAATGCTAAATAGATAAGGTGAATTTTCCGCCTAGTTTTCATTAACTCATTACTTGTATTTCTCCTTTCATGTTGTCATTTTTCAAAATCATCATAATTTTAAGGAAATTTTTTAAATTACCACCAAAAAATGTATCCATTTTCGAACTAACCACCCGTTTAATTTTTTATTTTAAATTACCACCTCTTAAATTAAATAAATGCTCAGATTACCACCCATTTCAAAAATCCGGTGGATTTTCCGGTTGTGGGCCCCACCTAACGTTTATTTTAACCCTTTTGACTGATTTTTTTTCCCCGACTTTTCTCTTTAAAAACGCTCTCCTAACTTTAATTCACATTTTTCACTTTGAAATTTGGTAGAATTTGGTGAAGAAAATGTGAATTAAAGTATAGAGAGCGTTTTTAAAGAGAAACATCGAGGAAAAAATCAGTCAAAAGGGTCAAGATAAGTGTTAGGTGGGGCCTACGGACAAAAAAATCCAATGGATTTTTGAAATGGGTGGTAATTTGAGCATTTATTTAATTTAATGGGTGGTAATTTAAAATTAAAAATTAAACGGGTGGTTAGTTCGAAAATGGTTACATTTTTGGGTGGTAATTTAAAAATTAACCTAATTTTAATAACTTTAACTAATTTTAAATTCATTATTATATGATGAAAAAAATGTAAAAACACAATGATGCTAAATGAACCCTTAACTTAACTACTTTTGAACTTAAATTTTTTGAAGGTAAAGCGTAATGAGTGACATTCATACCCACAAAGTAACTAATAGGGTTTTTAATGACATTATAATACAATTATCCTTTTTTTTTAACAATTATACTTTGGTATAGTACAATTTGTTCAACTTATAATAATTTATCTAATATATAATTACAGAGTCAGTTAACGAGAATCCTCCAAAACCCCAATGCTAAACTCTCATGCATTTAGGTTTTATATATATATATTATTATTATTATTATTATTATTATTATTATTATTATTATTATTATTATTGTTATTATTAAATAACTACACATC